CTGTGCCCTGCCACACTGTGCTAATGCAAATGGGTTTTCTAATCTTGTCTATAAGCCTGTCTCTTTGACTGTGTACGTCTGTCTGTCTGCCTCTGTTTCTGTCTGTCTGTAAGCCTGTCTCTGATTGTGTCCATTTCTATCTGAAAGCCTGACTCTTTCATTACCTGTTTATCAGTCTGTAAGGTTGTCTCAGTGTTTGCCTGTCTAAGGCGGCATTCAGCTGTGGACCGGTCCACCTGGCAAGCATCATGTAGCGCAAATAATAACAATAATAAAAAAAAAACATATAAAACTTAAAAATATTTCATATTGAACATCTCTTTCAGCCTGTTGGCCTCTGCTTGTTGACACCTCTTAAGACAGAAAGGTTATACACAGGAAGCACTACTGAACCCAAATGACCATGCGGTATGCAGACAGCCAGTCATTTCAATCGCAGAGCTGCCCTCTGCTGGTTAGAATCAGCTCTGCAGACGGACCCTCATTGATGAGAGGTCAACGAGGCACAGCTTATTTTGTGCAGAGCATTTCCAGAGTTTTCGAGCATGCAGTGAGGGTGTGGGACAGTGTGAGCCAAAAGCAGAGGGGCAAAAAAAGGGTACAGAAAATGAAGACAGGAGTAAGTGAAGAAGAGAAGAGTGAAGGAATAAATAATAGTTGATACTGACCAGCAGGTCGACGGCCTCGTGGCGTCCCAGAGAGCCGTGCTCCACCCTCTCGCTGCCGGGGGTGAGGATGTAGGGGCTCTGTGCGGAAGACGGCTTCATGATGGGCAGGCTGAGGGAACGCAGGTCCTTCACTCCCTGCTCCACCTTCAGCTCCTCGCCTGGCCGTGCTGAGGGAGGGGGACAATGGGCATGGGGGCGGTCAGGGATAAAGCATCCATCTTGAGGAGACGGGTTTTATTTCCCCCAAAAACGGGCATCGGACCCCAGAACGAGCTGAAAGATGCTTCCGGTTAGCAGGCTGACGTCACACGCGTTTGCCACGACTTTACATGCATATTCAGCGCACAGCCCCGAAATGGGACATGTTACATGGAAGGACGCATTCCCCTTACACTTCTGAATCACTGGCCTGGGGTGTAATGTACCAGAATATCATGTTACATCACCCCTCCCCCCCCCCCCCATATCAGCTTCTTAAATCACACTTTCCGGGCACAGCTGTGCTTGTGTGCTGGTAACTGGTAACAGCTCTGAAGGGGGGAGGGTCTCTGATTTAATGTTTTGGCGAGATGCTTCATCACCCCCCCCCCCCCCCCCCCCATATCAGCTTCTTAAATCACACTTTC